GAAAATAATGCAACAATATAGAAAGAGGGGAGAAATTTTCAGATTTTTCCATCTCTAAAAATGATGCCAAGCTTGTAAATTTATAGGCGATGAAAGGGTGAGATGAAGAGGTGCAACCCAAGAGATGCCTCTTCCATTTCCCATTCACGCCCTTTAGAAAGAAAAATCCAACAATTCCCCACATGAATGGCGAATGGCTATATGATGGAAACATGCATAAAATATTGTGTGATTTGCAAGTAAGGATTAATTGCATCTAGATAAGTAGGTTTCTTTTTGAACTTTTCGTAGTGAACTTACGTCGGATATACTCGGTCAATTAGTAGATTTGATATCTTTGAACCGTCGAGCTTTGGTGTATACCTAGACAACCATAAGTCACACAATCAACCTGAACTGTCTTTGGTTCTCATTGTTGTGTTCGTTTCAGCCATGTACACCGCCTGGTTTATAAGTGCATAGAGAACTGGCCTTACAGAATTCTCCTTGAAGTAGCTTACGCTTCACACTTACATATGTGATTCCTAAACGTGTTATCCCGTAAATACACTATTTGATATACCACGTATCAAATTTAGAAACCATTAAAAATTCTTAACGTTTTATCCTTGTTACTAAACATTGTCTTCATCATGAGAATGGACCAAGTTTTATTTGACAATGTTGAACCGTCACTAATGACCTTGTTTGATCTCCTTGAACCTAGATCTTGGGTCCAGTCTTCTAGGTAGAGTTACGCCATAGTGGCTTGTCCTCGGCCATAGTCCCATTCCCCTCGATGATCTTTTAACTACCTCTCTAGTTAGGCTTTTTGTAAGTGGATCCAACACATTATCGCTTGACTTGACGTAGTCAATTATGATAATTCTCCCAGAGGATAGTTACCTAACAGTTTTTTACCTTCGTCGTATATGACGAGATTTACCGTTATACATAATGCTCCTATCCCTTCCTAATGCCGCTTGACTATCGCAATATATGCATATATGTGCCAACGATTTGACCAAAATGACATATCTTCAAGAAAAGGAGCCATTGAACTTCTCCACCTGCCTTATCTGAGGCTATAAACTTAGCCTCCATTGTAGAGCAGTCGATGCACGTTTGTTTGGGCGATTTTCAAGATATTGCTCCTTCACCGACTGTTTAGAATCGGTTGAACCGGTGATCTAATTTGCATCACTATACCCCTTTATCATCGCAAGATACTTATTGTAGTGCACCGCATAGTCATAGATATATTTCAAATATTCCAAACTCATTTTATTGTCATGACAGTTCAATGCGAACTTCCTTATGTCGTAGATTAATACGTCTCGACTTTCTATTGCATATTAGATTATTGACTACACTTAATGTAGCAATAGATATATTATAACAACAGTTGGAATGATTGGCATCATGTGGCCACAACCTTTTCAATATATAACACATTTCGCAATCACTCCGCCATTTTCAAGCATTTGTATGCTATTTATTCATACGTCTATATGATATGCAAATTATAGCACCTTCATTCATAAAACAAATCTAACTTGCAGTGGACTTAAGTCATGTTCATCGGTTGGTTCACCTCATTATAGACCAACATATTAATACATTTATTCATGAACGGTGGTCATGTTTATACAAAATATACAAATGCACTTTTCATGAAAAGTCACAGTCTTCAAGGTGACATCCTTTCATAAAAGAGCTAAACATTATAAATGGTCAAGAAAGAACAAATCATTTCTGGAAAGGCACGTAAATAAGTTTCGAATTTGTAGTTTCATCACTAGTCATCACTAAGACTGAACAAATAATGAATTCACCGACTTTCATATCAATATCCACTAAGGATTGGTGGAGTTCAAAAATTATATCATTTAGACTTACGTCTAACATTCGCTTTTGTCATGCATAAGCTAAAAGCCCCCACATTTTAAATATTTAATCAATATATCATCCACATATAATCAAATAATGATTATGATTTGGAGTATTCTTAACGTAAACACATTTGTTTACACTCATTAATTTTGAAACCATTTGACAAAATATTATTTGGTCAAATCTCTCATGGCATTGTTTAGGTGCTTGTTTTAGTCCGCAAAGTGACTTAACAAGTCGACACACCTTCTTTTCTTTTTCAGGAACCACAAACCGTTCAAGTTGTTCCATATAAATTCTTTCTTCAAATCTCCATTTAAGAAGGCTGTCTTTACGTCCATCTGATGGATTTCAAGGCCATACACGGCGGCTAATGCTATTAACACTCAAATATATGTAATCCTCGTTACCGGCGAGTATGTGTTATACCCCATTTTAATACGGGTCAAATTAGAGTATAACCTATGAGAAATCTCGAGATCTAATTAATTTTAAGAGAGTCGCCACCTAATTATTCTAAAGGTAAATTAGGACACCTATTTACAAAACTTAAAATAAACTCTGTTTTTATGGCCTGCTTAACCGTAAAAATTCTAGGTAAGGGTTCTAAATATCTTAAAAGGAGGATTTTTAAGGCACCTTTTAAAATCCGTTAAAAGCGAATAACAGGCCAAACTTAGGCTAATTAGTCTAAAGTCCAATTTCAAAATATGGGGAGTAGCGTCTTAAATAATTTATTAACAACGAAATGTTAATTTAAAACATCTAAAACGAGTAAATAAGATAGACTATGAGAAAAGATAAGAAAGGTTTTTTTACATACTCGAGTTGATAGCAACGTCTAAAGATTTCTAAAGTTAAAATTTTGCTTGAAAGAAAAGTAGTTTAATTTGAAGAAAGCATTTTGGACTAGGTAAATATCTCAAATTGCTTCTAGAGAAATCAGACTTTCCTTTTAAGAAACCTTTGACGAATAATCTGTTTTAACCAAAATGTTACCCTAAAGCAACGAGAAAAATTTCTTATTTTGAACTTCTATCCGGCCAATAAAGATGACTAAGCCTAGAAAAGGGAAAAGTACAGAAATAACCAATTTAAACACAAACTTACCAACCTCTAGCCCAAAATTAAACACTTACCAAAAGTAGCCCAAAATTAGAGATACACGCAAGGAAGGATTCTTCCATCCGAGAATCACGCTTCCTTTCCTGTTTTTTAAGCGTATCAATTTACAAGATCACAGCATTCTCTCCCTCTGTAAATCACGCATTCTCTCCCAAAAAATTCTCCAAAGGATCTCCAAATTTCACTCAAAATCGATCAATTTCACTATATCCTTTCGCGATTTCTGTGTAGATACAGCTTTCACGAATTCTGTGTAGAAGGAACTACAAACTACAATCAAAATCAATCAAGGAATTAGTGAGTTTTGACCTAATTTCAGCTACTTCAATGGCAAATTTACCAATTTTTATTCAGTATGGTGGCAGATGGAATGTTGACAACAACTTTGTAGATTACAATGCAGATGCAGTAATAGTTACTCCAAATATAAGTTTAAAAGATTTTGTAGAGGTGATTTCGAAACAACTTATGATAGATACTTCATTGAATGTTATTGAAATCAAATACACGGTCCAAAACGGTTCTCCACCAATAGTGATACACAATAGTGTGGGTGTATGTGTATATCTTGAGCTAAAAAAAAGCTCGGAATTTACAATGTATCCCCTTTGTATAACATCGAGTGAAAGGGATATGGACATGATCTGCTACAATTCAAATTCTGTTGTGATTTCCTCAGAATGTGCACAAAGCTCAGTTATAGAGGGGAGATACAATGGCGATACAATTAATATGATCGAGTTAGGGGATGGAGAAGACTGACACGATACAGAATCTAATAAAAATATAATAATAACTGACCCTCAACACATAGATGTAGAAGAAGGTCAAATTTATAAAGACAAGGCTACGATAGTCAAAGTCATGAAGCAATTGGCAGTAAAGGAAAATTTTCAGTTTAAGGTGAATAGATCAAGTAAAAGCAGGTATCAAAGTATTTACTGTATAATTATGTATCTCAATGTATCGTAGTTAATTTTAGAAGCATAATTATGTAGAAAATAAGTTATTGCTTGTAAGTCTGTGGCTGTATACTTTTGAGTTGTGGTTGTCACCGTCTAGTACTGTATAGTCGTTGTATTTTTTCATCTAGTATTGTTGATGGCAGTGTGTATCACTATATATCATTGTATTTCATGTCGCTTTGTTTATTGGTGGAAAAGTTTATATCCTTGTCGTAGGCACTGCCTAGTGTGCATAAACAACAACTGTGATTGGTATTTTAAGCCTTTGAGCCTAAAAAAAGCTAAACTTTTCAAGGTCAGAAATTTCAGCAAAGTGCACTCATGCCCGCTGAAAGACATATCTTACGCACAACGTCAAGCTACTGCAAAACTCATCGGCAGTCTTCTGATAGACAAGTATAAAGGCCCAAAATAATATACACTCCTAATGACATAATTGGAGACATGAACAAGCAGTATGGTCTTTAAATGACATATATGCAAGCATGGAGATCGAAAGAATATGCAGTTCAAGTACTGAGAGAGAACCCGAGCGAATCATATGAAACGCTGCCAAGCTACTTTTATATGCTGGTTCATACAAATCCTACGTCGGTGGTAAGTTTGAAAAAAACAGAGGAAGACTTGTTCCTGTATGCTTTCGTTGCACTATATCCGTCTATAAAAGGAAGGCAGTATTGCAAATCGGTTGTTGTTGTAGATGGACCCTTTCTTAAATCGACATATAGAGGAACGTTATTGATACCATCCACACAAGATCCAAATAAGAATAATAATGTAAAAATTTATATATATATATATATATATATATATATATATATATATATATATATATATATACACACACACACACACACACACACATTATTCATGTATATATTATTAGGTAGTATCCTACCACTTGCATATGCCATAGTAGATTCAGCGGCAACATTGTATCCACAAGTACCTCATTGTGTCTGCATATGGTATCTATGGAATAATGTAAAAAAAAATTACAAGAAAAACCATTTGCTTCTCAAAGACATATTCTTTGCTATGGCCAAAGCATACACAGTTGAGAAGTTTGATTACCACAAGGCAGAGGTAGAGAAAATTGATAAGAGGGTCAAAGATTACTTAATGAACGTTGAGTATGAAAGATGGTCCAGAGCACATTCCACTATCAACAGAACATTGACAATGACTTCAAACATTGCGGAGTCGATCAATGCAGCACTCAAGGCTGCTAGGGAACTCCCAGTACTACCTTTGCTGGACTATTTAAAGCAATTGATCAGACGATGGAATATTACAAACCTAAAGAATGCAGTAGAGTCATTTACTGATCTTGGAAAAAAATATGATACAATGCTGATGGACAATCTCGAATTGTCACATCAGATGAAGGTATGACTGGAATCTGTAGATACTTGTGTATAGAATATGTAATCATACCGAATTCGCGGATCTGTTATATCTTGAACCTTTTGTGTGATTCTGTTAAACTAGTGTCCACCTGCACAAAAGCAAAGGCTTTCAATTTAATGTAGCATCTATGCCTATCCCACTGCTGAAATATTGGTTGGTTTGACATGATATTAAGCTATTTTGAATCTTGTAGGCTCTCTAGCATATGTATTTTGAGGGCATCTGCTTTGTCACCAATAATGATAGTTGATAAATTTTGTAGGTGACCCCTTTGACAAGTTACTTATATTCAATATTTGACAAGGGTAAGCAGAGAATGGTGTTCCTAAAAGATCGAACTTGCAGTTGTAGAAGGTTTCAGTTGGATGGGCTGCCATGTGCACATGCTTGGGCAGTATTAAAATACAAATACATTGATCACATTGAGTATTGCTCGATGTACTACACCAAGAAGTACCTATTGAAGACCTATGAAATTCCAATTTATCCGGTTCCTAATGAAAGCACATGAAAAATTCCTGCAGAAGTTCTAGATGAAAAAGTCTTGCCACCAGACGTAACTAAAACAATAGGAAGGCCAAGGAAGGGGAGGTGCAAGCCAATGTCTGAAAGGGAACAAAAAAGGTCTATTTCATGTGGACAGTGTGGAGAAGAAGGTCACAATAGGAAAACTTGTAGAAATAATCCAAAGAGAGGATGGAATATGTCAAACTTAGAATTACTTGTTATTTTACTTTACTGAATATCATAGAGATTTAGAAGAATGCAATATATCAAGAACTGTATCATTGCAGAATGTCATTTGAATTTTAGATATAAATAAATATTTGATCTATCATTTAAAATCGTGTTGCAAGTGTATTTTTTAAATTATACATCTGTTTGATTAGAAAGAAGTTGTATCAGCTATATATCATATTTGTATCATCTATGTATCGCTTGTGTATCACCGATGTATCTCTGCGTATAGGCTCTTACTCATGTCTGTATTTGTGTAGTAACAAAGCTAACTAATGGAAAACAGTCGTAGTAGCTAGAAAACTATGCAAATAGTTCTAGAAATTTGCAAATAAGAGTGCGGCAATCCAAAACAACTGTATCATCTATTTCAAAACCAAACAAACTACAAAACTCATTGTTAAGAAACTAACTGTGCAGCAATCCAAAACAACTGTATCATCTATGTTTCAAACTATGTATCATATCTGTATCATAGTGTATCATGTGTGTATCTTGCAAGTATCTGCAAGAGACAATGTATCACAAACTACCGTATATTTTTCATGTCTTTATTTCACAACACAAAATCAAGGGAGAAAACACCAAAATAAACTAAATAGCAACACTCTAATATCACACTAAAACTCACTAAACCTTTATAACAGAGCAAACATATCATTTGCCATACAATTCTTAAAAGTATTCATAAAATTCAAACACAAATAAATCTGATCCGTCTTACAACAATGACAACATAATAGAACACAACACAAAACAAAATTATAGAGTTCATCCTATAACAATGACAAAAGTAACTACTTCTTCTGCTTCTGCGACTTATTGTGTCGACCAATAAACTCATCATCACTTTGCGCGTTCAGTTCCATCTTCTTTCTAGCATAATCCCACAAGAAAGCACCAAATCTGTGCCGGTGTGCATAGGCATTGAATTTTTTAGGAGGCGTCTTGCCCTCAATGAAATACTCAGCAAGTAATACCGCAAAATACACCGCAATCACTGCAAAAATAAAAAGAACAACAATTATCAAACTGCAGAATCTAAAAACAAAACAGATTGTGTTGAAAGAAATTCATACACTTCGACTTGTTGAGGCAGTCCTTCAACCAGTTTTACATCAAAAAAGGTAATCAAGTCCTTTGATTTGTAGACACCAGTGCGCCAATTGATATCTTTTTTGTTTAAATAGAAATGCGTGCGCACGAAAAAATGAGGCAGCAACACGGAATACTTGGCCATGGTCTTATGAACTTTGGCTTGATGAGCAGCTCCATTGCGCATAGAGTCATACACATAAATGCACCTATCGTTGAAGTACATCACAACCATTATCCAATGCCATTGTTTTGCAAAATTAATTGGCATTAAGACGTGCTCTGATGGGCTTAAGGTCTTTTAATCTATGTTTGATGATCTAACAAACTTTTTGTATAGAACCAGATAAAGGACCTGAAGCATGCCTGGTACAATCATTCTAGTTAATCGACTCAAGACAATCTGGGCAGTGTGCCTTTAGATTCACAAGAACCAGATCAGATTAGGGATCTAATACCTTGGTGCTCCCCTGACAGAAGTACAGGTCAACTATACAGCTGGAACGCAACTGCAGAAAGTGACTGTCTGCAACTGTACAAAGAGGAACACAACAGGGACCTGGTCCCTTAGGGTTCTCTGACAGAAGTACAAGTCAACTCCAACTGGAAAGCAACTGCAGAAAGTGACTGCCTGTAACTGTACACGCGACAGTGCAGCAGTCACTTCCCATTGAGAAGAAACATATACTAATCAAGATTTGACCTCACCATGGTAATGTCTTTTGTGGTATAACAACCTGGTGCAAGGGATCTGATCGGTGAAATACTTGCAAATCAGAAAAGGAAATATTCTCTCAAGTGCTAGCAACAGACTCTCTCAAGAACAAAGCTGCAGCAACCTCAAGGACCAGATCTAAGATTGAAGATATCTTAAGTCCTTAGGTTTGTTGAGTCTTTGTTATGTGTTCTTCATTGTAACTCCTATCCTGCTTTCTTAGAAGCGTTGATTAGGAAACCGCTTGTAAAATTCGTAAACTCTCTGAGTTTATGTTGTGACTAGGATTAGTCATAAGTTAAAGTCTTTGTTACTAGAGAGTGACAAAGTGGCTTGTGTTGAGAGTATCACAAGTTAGTCAAAAGCCTTTGTAACTGTAGAGTGACAAAGTGGCTTGTGGTGAGAGCATCACAAGTTAGTGAAAGTCTTTGTAACTAGGGAGTCACAAAGTGGCTTGTGGTAAGAGTACCACAAGTTAGTTGAGTTGAATTCTTTATAATGGAGTCATTACAAAGTGGCTTGTAATAGGTATTTTACAAGTTAGTGAAGTTGAAAGCCTACAGGTGTAGGTCGTGGTTTTTGTCCCCTTGAGTAGGATTTTTCCACGTAAAAATCCTGTGTCTCATTTACATACTGGTTCTGTAGTTACCACTATGGGAACTGATATAGTATCTGATCTCTATACGGTTTGGTTCATTAGTATTTTCAGTGAAAACTCATAGAGACCAGGTACTCTATAGTGTGGTGGACTCATACAAACTAACAATTGGTATCAGAGCGGGTTCTTTCTAAAAGGTTAACACCTAGAAAGGATCTCAATGGCTGCTCCACCTAACTTTGAGGAAGGACAATCAACCTACAGACCCCTTAGATTCAATGGTCAGTATTACGGCTGGTGGAAGACTCGTATGCATGATTTCATAATGTTAGAAGATTTAGAGCTGTGGGACGTCATTTGTGATGGTCCACATGTTCCTATGAAGAAGCTTGGAGAAACTGGACCAATGGTGCCGAAAAATAGAAAAGAGTACAGTGATATTGACAGAAAAGCTGTAGAAAAGAACTTTCGTGCCAAGAAAATCTTGGTATGTGGTATAGGACCTGATGAGTACAATAGAATCTCAGCATGTGATTATGCCAAGGAAATATGGGAAGCTTTGCAAACGGCACATGAAGGAACCACTCAGGTTAAACATTCTAAGATTGACATGCTCACCATCGAGTATGAGCTCTTCAGGATGAAGGATGATGAGTCTATACAAGATATGCACACTAGATTCACATCTATTATATATGAGCTTCATTCACTTGGAAATGTCATTCCTAGAAACAAGCTTGTAAGGAAGGTTCTCAGTGTTCTACCTGGCGCTTGGGAGAGTAAGGTTGAATGCTATCACCGAAGCTAAAGATTTACAAATTCTAACCATGGATGAGCTGAATGGAAATCTGAAGACATACGAGATGAAAAGACAGAGAGACAGTGAAAGAAGAGAGGCGAAGAAGGAGAAGAACCTGGTGCTCAAGGCTGAAAACAATGACTCAAGTGAAGAAGATAGTGATATGGCCTATCTTACTAAAAGATTTCAAAAGGTGGTTCGAAGGAATGGTGGTATACCAAAAAGGGGCAGTTCAAGTAAGGAGCAATACAAACAAAATCCTGCCAAATCAGCAAAAAGGAACCTGGTTCCAAACAAACGGTTCAGTCGAAAAACTACAGCTGACAACATTGTGAAGCAAGCTTTTTGTTTTAATTGATGGCACTAGCTAATGTTTTAATTGATGCATATTATAGTCCTGAAAATGATAAGGAGGCCCTGACCATAGAGCTAGAAGATGCTGAATAATCCAAAGATGATCTGGTGGTCTGTGTGGTGGATTTAAATGAGACCATAGCTAATCTTGAAAAAGAAAAGGAAGTTCTAACTGATAAAATAAATAGTGTAGAAAATGAGAGAGATTACTTGATGGTAGTGGTTGTTGACGTGAAGGAAACCATAGAAAACCTAAGCAAAGAAAAGAATGCCCTAGAAGAGAAAATTGCTGATACTGAGCAAGCAAGGGATGACTTTTTGGTGGTTATCACAGATCTAGAGGAAACCACTGAGGGACTAAAATATGAACATAGGAATGTAAGTATTGGAAAAGGGAAAGGAGTAGCTAGTGAGACACACATCAAACTTGAAAAAGAATTAAATGATGTGAGAACTAGTCTATGTGGTGAACTCGAGAAAAATAGGCAGCTTCAAGCTGAATTGAAGAAAGTAAAAATTGATCTTGAGAAATCTCTCAAGTGGACCTGGTCCTCAGATGTTGTCACTGCCATGCACTTCAACAATAGTGGAAACAGGCAGGGAATCGGGTTCCAAAAGGAGAAAACTCCTTACAACCCTCACAGCAAGTACGTCACAGTTCCTGATAACTGGCTTTGTACCCACTGTGGGAACAATGGGCACTTCAAAGAAAACTGCCAGGCCAGGGTTCAATCTGTACAGAAAAACAAAGTGTTTGCTGAAAAAATGACTACTAAAGAGGGACCAGGTACCACTCGAAAAAAACGAGTACTGCCTGCATGGACTAGAAAAGCTCTCATTCGTCCTTTTTATCATAACAAGGGACCCAAACTAGTTTGGGTTCCTAAATCTAACCCATAATTTAGATGTGCATGGAACAGTGGGAGGAAGCGGACTGCAATAGATCATGGACAGTGGATGCTCAAAAGCACATGACTGGAAATACCATGGATTTTCTCTCACTGAAAGCCCTGCAAGGAAGGGATGTACCCTTTGGAAAATGGAAAGAAGGGGTACATTCTAGGTATGGGGAAGAAAACAAGGTAAAAGTTCGTGTCTAAGCTGGTGATATGAGCTGCTTGAATGCAATTGATAATGATTCGAAGAGTTGGCATAAAGGATTGGGGGGATACAAGTTCTCACTTCTGGATGTATTGATGAAGAAGGACCTGG